GCCATACTTATTCTCCATTATTTTGAAAAAGAAAAAAGCAAAAAAAAAACTGGCTTCTATGGTTCCCCATCTTACAATGAGTGCATAAAAACTGTCACTTCTTGGCAGGCTCAAGAACCTTAAGACTGTAGGTAAGTTCAAGAACTGTAAGACTGTCTGCAGCAGCACACAAGAAAAGATACCAGTTCCCTGAGGGTTGCCATACTACTCTAGAAGACTTTAGCCTTGGGGTACTGTCAGATCTGGATAGAGCAGGATGGTCTTGCCCATGAGAAAGAGCCAGTCCAAGTGCTTTCTCTCTGCAGGTCTCTCCAAGAACCCCAGCCTGACCAAGCTCATTTGCAGGCTGGCCTCAGATGCCCAACTGGGGTACTTCCTGGGGGTCCTCATCATAGCTCCTTTGCCAGCAGACCATGCATGACCATCAGGGAGCTTCAACAGAGCAGCTCCACAAATGCACATCTGCCTACCCACACCCTTTCCCACTGAAGCCTCCCCTACTTTGCCAGCATGCACTTTGCCAGCATGCACTTGCCCACACTCACCCCCCACCAACTGCTTTGAAAGCACACATGCACACAGATTTAATCTCCCCTCCATGCCAATGCATGTGTGTGCACACACCCCACTGTGCCATTGCTACCAGCATGAGCATACCCCACCACCTTCCCAGGCCATGCCACCATTGCCAGTGCAAACATGGACATGAACACTGGAAACCCTGGCCCCCAGCACACAGCCATTGCCAACAGTTCAAACACATGCACGAGGCCAACAACCCTGATCCTGTGCAAACAACCACCACCACTGCTACAAGCACGTGTGCACACCCTACCCTCCAATGTCACGCCACCACTGCCACCACCACAGTGAGAATAAGCATGTGCAAGAAGGCTACAGCTCTGCTCCCACTGGTACTCTGCCCCAGCCAACACACATGCATCCTGCCATGCTGCAACTGCTACTGGCACACAAAAACAAGCAGTGATCATGCTGCATTTACCCTAGTGAAGCACTTTGGCTAATACCATGCATTGAAGCACTGTGGCCAGCAGTCCAGGAACACATCAGCCCTGTCAGCACAACAGGTTCCTAATCTCAAGGGGCAAGAGAACAAAGTTGGGAGCCAGATACTAGTCTCTGAGAGTTAGAGCATGCAACCTAGGAATCCTGAGCCAAGCCTTGGCATTCTAAAATCTCCCAGAAATGAAGCCAGTCAACTGAACCTACATTGTACAACAATCAAACCCCCAAGGACATCAAAAAAGATAAAATCAAAAAAAATTAAAAAGCATCCAAGACAGCAACTTCAAATATTGAAGGAACATCAGCCTATACAGATGAGAAAGAACTAGAGCAAGAACTCTAGCAACTCCAAAAGCCAAAGTGTCTTCTTACCTTGAAACAACCACCCTATTTCCCCAGCAATGGTTCTTAAACAAGCTGAAATGGCTGAAATGACAGAAAGAATTCTAATATGGTTAAAAACAGACCATTGAGATTCAAAACAAAGTTGAAACCTAATCCAAGAATTCAGAGGAATACAATAAAACAATACAGGAGATTAAAAATGAAATGGCCATTTTAAGAAACAAGCTAATATGATGGAGCTGAAAACCCCACTTCAAGAATATTATAATGCAATCATAACTATTAACAGCAGAATAGACCAAGTCGAGGAAAGAATTTCAGAGCTTGAAGACCAGTTCTCCAAAGTAACTCATTCAGACAAAAATAAAGAAGAAAACAAAACTTCCAAAAACATGAGATTATCCAAAGACACTGTATTAGTCCATTTTCATACTTCTATGAAAAAATACCTAAGACTGGGTAATTTGTAAAGAAAAAAAGGTTTAATGGACTCGGTTCCATATGGCTAGGGAGGCATCAAAATCATGGCAGAAGGAGAAACAAAGGCATGTCTTACATAGTGGCAGGCAAGAGAGCATGTTCAGGGGAACAGCCCTTGATAAAACCATCAGATATCATGAGACTTATACACTATCACAAGAACAGCACAGGAAAAACCTGCCCCCATAATTCAATTACCTCACACTCACATCCCTCCCATATGTGGGGATTATGGGACCTACAATTCAAGAGACAAGATTTGTGTGAGGACAGACAAAGCATATTATCCCACCCCTACCCCTCCCAAATCTCATGTCCTTAGATTTCAAAACCAATTATGCTTTCACAACAGTCCCCCAGAGTCTTAACTTACTCCAACATTAACCCAAAAGTCCACAGTTCAAAATCTCATCTCAGACAAGTCAGGTCCCTTCTGCCCATGAGCCTGTACAGCCAAAAGCAAGTTAGTTACTTCCTAGATACAATGGAGGTACAGGCATTGGGTAAATACACCCATACCAAATGGGAGAAATTGGCCAAAACAAAGGAGACACTGGCCCCACACAAGTCTGAAATTCAGCAGGACAGTCAAATTTTAAAGCTCCAAACTGGTCTTCTTTGACTCTGTGACTCATCCAGGTCACACTGATGCAAGAAATAGGTGCCCATGGCCTTGGGCAGCTCCACCCCTCTGGCTTTGTAGGGTATAGCCCCACTCCTTGCTGCTTTCACAGGCTGGTATTGAGTGTCTGTGGCTTCTCCAGGCACACAGTACAAGCAAAGCTGTTGGTAAATCCGCCATTCCAGGACCTAGAGAATGATGGCCCTCTTCTCTCAGCTTCACTAGGTAGTGCTCCAGTAGGGACTTCGTGTGGGGGCTCCCACCCCACATTTCCCTTCTGCACTCCTCTAGCAGGGTTTCTCCATTAGCGCTCCACCCCTGCAGCAAATTTTTGCCTGGACATCCAGGCCTTTCTATACGTCCTCTGAAATCTAGGCAGAGATTACCAAACCTAAATTCTTTTTTTTTGAGATTAAGTCTTGCTCTGTCACCCAGGCTGGAGTGCAGTGGCACAATCTCAGCTCACTGCAACCTTGGCCTCCTGGGTTCAAGCTATTCTCCTGCCTTAGCTTCCTGAGTAGCTAGAATAACAGGCACTCACCACCACACCTGATTGGGGTTTTTCCATCTTGGCCAGGCTAGTCTCAAACTGCCAACTTCAGGTGATCTGCCTGCCTTGGCCTCCTAAAGTACTGGGATTACAGGCCTGAGCCACCATGTCTGGCCCCCAAACCTTAATTTTTGACTTCTGTGCACCCACAGGCTCAACCCCTCATAGAAGGTGCCAAGTCTTGGGCTTACACCCTCCAAAGCCACAGCCTGAGCTGTACCTTGGCCCTTTTTAGCCATGGCTGGGGCAGCTGGCATACAGGGCACCAATTTCCTAGACTGAACACAGCAAGGAGAAACCATGTTTTTCTCTTAGGTCTCTGGGCCTGTTATGGGAGGGGCTGCCACAAAGTTCTTTGACATGACCTGGAGATATTTTCCCCATTATCTTGGTGATCAACATTTGACTCCTTGTTATTTATGCAAATTTCGACAGCAGGCTTGACTCTTTCCCCAGAAAAAGAGATTTTCTTTTCTATTGCAACAACAGGCTGCAAAGTTTCCAAACTTTTCTATTTGTCTTCCTCTTGAACACTTTGCCACTTAGAAATTTATTCTGCCAGATACCCTAAATCATCTCACTCAAGTTAAAAGTTCCAAACATCTGTAGAACAGGGGCAAAATGCCACAAGTCTCTTTGCATAGCAAGGGTGACCTTTACTCCAGTTCCCAAAAAGTTTCTCATCTTTATCTGAGACCACCTCAGCCTGGACCTTATCAGCATTTTGATCAAAGCCATTTAACAAGTTTCTAGGAAGTTTCAAACATTCCCACATTTTTCCATCTTCTTCTGAGACCTTCAAACTGTTCCAACCTCTGCCTGTTACCCAATTCCAAAGTTACTTCCACATTTTGGGGTATCTTAATAGCAGTGCCCCACTTCCAGTACCAATTTACTGCATTAGTCAATTTTCATACTGCTGTGAATAAATACCCAAGACTGGGTAATTTATAAAGAAAAAGATGTTTAATAGACTCACAGTTCCACATGACTGAGGAGGCCTCACAATCATGGCAGAAGGTGAAGGAGGAGCAAAGGTACATCTTACATGGCTGCAGGAAACAGAGTATGTGCAGGGAAATTGTCCTTTATAAAATCATCATATCTTATGAGATTTATGCACTATCATGAGAACAGATGGGAAAAAACCATGATTCAATTACCTCCCACCAGGTCTTTCCCACAGTATGTGGGAATTATGGGGCCCACAATTCAAGATGAGATTTGGGGTGGGTACATAGTCCAACCATATCAGACATGAAATCAAAGTCTCATTGGTGTCTCTGAAAGAGAGAGAGAGAAAGCAAACAACTTGGAAAACTTATTTCAGGATACTCTTTGAAAGTTCCCCAAACTTACCTACAGAGGCCAACATCCAAATTCAGAAAATGCAAAGAACCTCTGTGAGATACTATACAGGATGATCATCCCCCAGACACATAGATTATCCAAGGTTGAAATGAAAGAAAAAATACTAAAGGCAGGTGACCTAAAAAGTGAACCCTATCAGGCTAAAGAGAACCCTATCAGATTTTTCAGCAGTAACCTTACAGGTCAGGTTGGGGGCTTATATCCAGCATTCTCCAAGAAAATAAATTTCAACCAAGAATTTTATATCCAGCCAAAATAAGCTTCATAAGTGAAGAAAAAATAAGATCCTTTCCAGACAAGCAAATGATAAGAGAATTTGTTACCATAAGACCTATCTTATAAGAGGTCCTGAGGGAGTGCTAAATATGAAAAGGAAAGGTTATTACTGGCCACCATGAAAACACACTTAAGTACACAAATTAGTGAAACCATAAAACAACCACATGCACACACACAAAGGCTGTATAACAAGCAGCTAACAACATGATGACAGGATCAAACCTGTACATGTCAATATTAACTTTGAATATAAACAGGCTAAATGCCCCAATCAAAAGGCACAGAGTGGTGAGTTGGATAAAAAAAATATATATATATATATATTTTTGACCTCAGTTCTGATGAGAGCGATGGTATGAGTTCTCACTCATTTTGTTCAGCTTTCCAAGGAATGTTTTTTTGGTTGGACTCATCATTGATCCAAGCACATTGCAAAGAAGGAGCACATTTGAAAGGTCTTTAAGGTCATCAGCTTTCCCACTGCCCAGCCTGTTGTTTCAAATGGATAAAAATTTAAGACTCAACTGTATGCTGTCTTAAAAGAGCTCCACCTTATATGCAATGATACCCGTAGGCATGAAATAAATTTACAGAGAAAAATCTACCAAGCAAACAAAAAACATACAAAAAAGCAGGAGATGCTATACCAATTACAGACAAAACAGCCTTCAAACCAACAAAGATCAAAAAAGACAAAAAGGGGCATTACATAATAGTAAAGTGTTCAATTTGACAAGAAGATCTGACTATCCTAAATATTTATGCACCAAATACAGAAGCACCCAGTTCACAAAGCAAGTTCTTAGAGACCTGAAAAGAGGCTTAGATAACTACACAATAATAGTGGGAAACTTCAACACCCCACTGACAATATTAGACAGATCATCAAGGCAGAAATTCACAAAGATGTTTGGAACCTGAACTCAACACATGACCAAAAGGGCCTAGTAGACATGTATAGAATGCTCCACCCCAAAACAACAATATATATTTTTCTCATTGCCACATGGCACATATTGTAAAATAGACCATACGATTGGCCATGAAACAATTGTCAGTAAATTCAAAAAATCAAAATCATACCTACCACACTCCTGAACAACAGTGCAATAAAAATATAAATCAATGCTAAGAATATTACTCAAAACCATACAATTACCTAGAAATTAAACAACATGCTCCTGAATGAATTTTGGGTAAACAATAAAATTAAGGCAGAAATTGAGAAATTCTTTGAAACTAATGAGAACAAAGATAGAACATACCAGAATCTCTGGGACACAACCAAAGCAGTGTTAAGAGGGAAACACTTAGTGGTAAATGCCCACATCAAAAAGTTAGAAGGGTCTCCCAGTCAGCATGGCTATTATTAAAAAGTCAAAAAGCAACAGATGCTGGTAATATTGTGCAGGAAATGGAACACTTTTACACCGTTGGTGGAAATGCAAATTAGTTCAACCATTGTGGAAGGCAGTGTGGTTATTCCTCAAAGACCTAGAGGCAGAAATGCCATTTGACCCAGCAATCTCATTACTGAGTATATACCCCAAGATATATAAATTATTTTATTATAAAGATGCATGTGCCTAGGCATGGTGGCTCAGGCTTGTAATCCCAGCACATTGGGAGGCCAAGGTGGGTGGACTACCTGAGGTCAGGAGTTCAAGAACAGCCTGCCCAACATGGTGAAACCCCATCTCTACTAAAAATACAAAAATTAGCCAGGTGTGGTGGTGCATGCCTGTAATCTCAGCTTCTCGGGAGCCTAGGGCAGAAGAATTGCTTGAACCTGGGAGGCAAAGGTAACAGTGAGCCGGGATCATGCCACTGCACTCCAGCCTGGACAACAGAGTGAGACTTCGTCTCAAAAAAAAAAAAAAAGTACATGTATGTGTATGATTATTGCAACACTATTCACAATAGCAAATACATGGGATTAATGTAAATGTCCACAGTGATACCCTGGATAAAGAAAATATGGCACATATACACCATGGCATACTATGAGCCATAAAAAGAAGCAAGATACTCCTTTGCAGTGACATGTATGGAGCTAGAAGACATTATCTTCAGCAAACTAACACAGGAACAGAAAATCAAATACCTCATGTTCTCACTTATAAGTGGGAGCTGAATGACGAGAATGCATGGACACATGGGGGTAAAACACACACTGGACCTTTCAGAGGGTTGGGGCGGGAGGAGGGAGAGCATCAGGAAGAATGGATAATGGATGCTGGGCTTAAACCTAAGTGATGGGATGATCTGTGCAGTTACTCACCATGGCACAGGTTTAAGTACTGACAAAGCTGCATATCCTGCACAAGTAGCCCTAAATTTAAAATAAAATTTGGAAATCAAAACAAAGTTAGAAAGATCTCAAATTAACAACCTAACATCACACCTAAAGAAACCAGTAAAACGATGACCAAACCAACCCCAAAGCTAGCAGAAGACAAGAAATAACCAAAATCAGAGCTAAACTGAAGGAAGTCAAGACATGAAAAACCTTATAAAAAAAACCAATGAATTCGGTTTGTTTTTTGAAAGAATAAATAAGATAGATAGACTGCTAGCTAGACTAATGAAAAGAGAACATCCAAATAAACACAAGAAATGAAAAAGGGGACATTACCACCAAACCCACAAAAATACAAAAGCCATTAGAGACTACTATGAACACTCTATGCAAACAAGCTAGAAAACCTAAAAGAAATAGGCAAATTTCTGGAAACATGTAACCTCCCAAGATTGAACGAGGAAGAAATCAAATTCCTAAACAAACCAATAATGAGTTCTAAAATTGAATTAGCAATACAAAGCCTATCAACCAGGGGGGAAAAAAAGCCCAGGACCAGATGGATAAAGAGCCGAATTCAACCAGATGTATAAAAAGACTACTACTATTGAAATGATTCCCAAAAAATAAGGAGGAGGGATACCTCTATATCTCATGCTTTGAAGCCAACATTATATCGGTATCAAAACTTGGCAGACAAACACACACATTAAAAAAAAATCAGGTCAATATCTCTGATGAACATTGGTGCAAAAATCCTCAACAAAATTTCAGCAAACTGAATCCAGCAGCACATTAAACAGCTAATCAATTACAGTCAAGTAGGCTTTACCTCTGGTGTGTAAGATTGGTTTAATGTACACAGATCAGTAAACATGATTCATCACACAAACAGAATCAAAAACAAAAACTACATAATTATTTCACTATAAGCAGAAAAGGCATTTGATAAAATTCAACATCAATTTATGTTAAAAACCCTCAACAACGTAGACTTTTAAGAAATATACTTCCCAATAGAAAAGCCATCTTTTCCAGTAAATGAATAATTTTAAAAGAAAGAAAAAGAAAAAGGAAGGGAGGGAGGGAGGGAGGGAGGAAGGAAGGAAAAAGAAAAGAAAAGAAAAAAGAGTGATTAATGACAAACCCACAGCCAGATATACTGAATGTGTAAAAGCTGGAAGCATTTCCCTTTAAAATCAGAACAAGGCAAGAATGCCCTCTCTTACCACTCCTATTAGATGTGGTACTGGAAGTCCTAGCCAGAGCAATCAGGCAAGAGAAAGACATAAAACATACCCAAATTGGAAGAGAGGAAGTCAATCTATTGCTGCAGATGATATAATTCTATGCCTAGGAAACCCACAGTCTACCCAAAAGCTCTTTGATCTGATCAACAATTTCAGGAAAGTTTTGGGATACAAAATTAATGTATAAAAATTCATAGTATTACTATATACCAACGACATCCAAGCTGAGAGCCAAATCAAGAACACAATCCCATTCACAATAGCCACAGAAAATAAAATAGCTAGGAATACAGCTAACCAGGGAAGTGAAAGAGCTCTACAACGAAAACTACAAAACATTGATGAAGAAATCAGAGATGACAGACGCAAATGGAAACATATTCCATGCTAATGGATTGGAGGAATCAATGTTAATAAAATGGCCATACTACTCAAAACAATTTACAGATTCAATGCTATTTCTTTCAAACTATCAATGACATTCTTCTCAGGACTAGAAAAAACTATGTTAAAATTTATATAAAACCAAAAAAGAGACTGAATACCCAATGCAATCCTAAGCAAAAAGAACAAAGATGAAGGCATCATGTTACCTGATTTCAAACCTTATAGTATAAGGCTACAATAACCAAAACAGCATGGTACTGGTACAAAAACAGACACATAAACCAATGGAACAGCATACCCAGCCCATAAATAATGCTACACACCTACATCCATCTGATCTTCAACAAAGTCAACAAAAACAAGCAATGGAGAAAAGACTCCCTCTTCAATAAATGGTGCTGGGATAATTGGTGAGCCATATGCAAATGATTGAAACTGGATCCCTTCCTTACACCATATACAAAAGTCAAGATGAACTAAAATCTTATAGGTAAGACCTAAAACTATAAACACCTTGGAAGATAATCTAGGAAATACCATTCTGGACATAAGACCTGGCAAATATTTCATGATAAAGATGCCAAAAGTGATTGCAACAAATGAAAAAATTGACAAAAGAGACCTAATTAAACCAAAGAGCTTCTGCACAGCAAAAGAAACTATCAAAAAAAAGTAAAGAGACAACCTACAGAATGGGAGAAATATTTGCAAACTATGCATCCAACGAAGGTCTAATCTCCAGAACCCATAAGAAACTTAAACAAATTAACAAGCAAAAAATGAAGAATCCCTTGAAAAAGTGGGCAAAGAATATAAGCACACTTTTTAAAAGAAGTCGTACATACAGCCCATGAACATGAAATAATGCCCAACATCACTAATAATTAGAGAAGTGTCCATCAAAACCACAATGAGATACCATCTCACACCAGTCAGAATGGCTATCATAATAGAAAGTCAAAAAGTAACAGATGCTGGCTGTTCTCACTTATAAGTGGGAGCTAAACATTGAGAACACATGGGCACAAAGAAGGAACCAACAGACACCAGGGCCTATTTAAGGGTAAAAGGTGGGAGGAGGGTGAGAATCAAAAAACTGTCAAATACTATGCTTATTACCTGGGTGATGAAATAATAATCTGTACACCAAACTCCTGTGACATGCAACTAACCTGCATAGCAAACCTGCACGTGTACTCTTGAGCCTAAGGTAAGAGTTTAAAAAAAATAAATCTGAGATTCCTCTGTGGTCAATGTAAAGAGAAAAAATATGTTTGTAGAAAAAAGTTACACCTGTTATTGGATTGTAGCTCTGTGCATTGTTTTCTAGTTCTTGTTATCTGCCTACAGACTAGACTAGATCCCGAATTCTTCTAGATTTCTCTAATCCTATTTTCTTCTATGAAATTACTAAAAATGGAAGCTGATCTGTTCTTCAAGCCCTATAATCTGAAACTAGACGAATTTTAATGGAGAGTCTCATTCC